TGGTGAAAAAGCGAGAGTGTCTCGCCGACGCCGCCGTCGCTATAGTGCTGCTGCTCCGCGACGGCGCGCGCGCGCTTGCGTCGTCGACTTGATGCACCAAGGCGCATGCGGAAATGCACTCGACGTCCGCCCGCGTTTCGTTCGGTGGGGAGGGAATAATATGCAGCGGGTGTACGCAGCGAGCGAGCGAACGAGCGAACGCGCGCGCGCCAGGGACCAGACGTCGGCGTCGACGACGGGACAATAGTCGGGTAGGGTGGTGCGGCAGGGGGGGAGCATAGCGCATCCTCGTCGCGCAAGCCAGAATTCGGTGCACACAGACCGTTGTGTTGCCTTAGGTCAGTACAACGCCTGATAGCTTAGAACATACTTTTTGTTTATCAAGCTCCGCACTTAACGTTTTCGTTTTAGCCATTAACAGTCCGGGCTCGCCGGTCATCTGGGTAAGCATGATTTACGCATATATTACTAATATTATTATTTTTCGCGTTTTAAAATGTTCTCCTCTTCGTCGTTATTATTATTTTGTGTTATACGATGACTAATATATTGATGCATAATATATTTGTACCCAAAAACTATAGAATTGAAATATTTGTCTGACGTTTTGAAGTGCTGTCATGATATTAATTAAAATTTTACATTATACAACACTAATTATCATGTGCCGTATAAGGTGTTTAAAACGAATAAATCATTTTATGAAATCACAAATGGCACGTTTTCATTTCACGTAGTATCTGACTGTCGGTATCACTATAAAACGCATTCTCGCAAAACGTTTCCTTGTCGTTTTTACAATTTACACATTTATGTATATGACAATAATATGTCATCGTTATTATTATAGCGTTGAGACACACACATAGAACGCATTTTGATTGTTGTAAAGTGCATGTGCAACGGGCAAAACGCGAGTCCCAAGGCTGCGGCCGTGAACATCAATAATCTAGTAATTGTGTATGCCCCGCAAGGCCTTTTCGTGTATTTACCACGAAACACGTTCTCGATTTTTTTTTTTCCCCGGTCGATCGCTGATAGTTAAATTTCATAATTTGAATTGAGTAAGAGTGGTAAGATTGTAAGATTCACCGACACAAACGATTATTGTTGAAATAAATTTAATTATTCAATTATTGTTTATTATATTGATCGAAATCAAAACTATTAAATATGTGTCTATATTGATAATTATTATTTTTGTCTAATTTAATAAAGAAAATTGTACTTGCTTATGATACATCGTTACTAAATCGAACAACTTATTCAATCAAGAACATATATTATTATTACAGTGATCTAAAAATATGTTGCATATAATTTTAAAGAAAAATAATGTTGTTGGCGATGGCAAAACAGCTATATTATATTATATAATAGAATATACTTATATTTTAATTATTGAGATATGTTAAATATTCGTATTATTACAAGTGTGGTTTTAGATATCGAAAAAAAATTATATTATCCCGTTGCCGATATAAATAAAAGAATCGCGAGACTATTTAGTATTTACACTCATTTTTTATGAGATATCGTAACGTATTTTTATTTTATTTTACAGTGTTAATCAATGTTAGGGATTATAGGTTAACTATTAAAAAAAACCTTGTTATATAAATACAAACAAAGTCATTCATAAATTAAAATAATTGCAGTGTCTTAAATTCCCGTAAAAAAATCATTAGAATCATTCAAGATAACCTATTTTTTTTTGTAAATAGGTATAAATGTATAATCATATTTTCTTCATAACATTTTAACTTCTAAAAATGCGTTGCTTATCTCATAAAAACATTCAATTGTATTTTTTAAAACACTTGTTGAATTTATTTATTCTAGTATCAAGTACATCCGTATGAGTATTTTAAGTCTGTATGGAAACACAAATGTTAAAATGGGAATTTTGATAAAAATTAAGTTCATTTATCATTTTAATTATTTTTTTATTAGATGCTATAAATGCGTATAATAAGATTCAAAATCCATATTCTGTATACATTAATTTTCGTTCACCCTTTGTAACTCTTTTTTTTTAATAGTCCCACGATGAAAGTGATACAAATTTCTAGTTTGAACCAATGCTTTATGAATACTTATAACATTGAACACGTAGTTACTCCATTCTTTTCCCTGACATTATTATCATTAAAATTATACATCATTTTTCGAATAAAATTAATTTACAATACGTGCACATCATTAGTTTGTGTTTTGTACACTCAAGTGTCAGATGGCTGCACGCGTTATATATATATACATAAACTTGTGCAAATACTAGGATATACCAGGACAGCTGTTTCAATACAAATTTACAATTTTTTTTTGTTCGAAATTAAATATCTGTGCAATGTATAAGTTGCAGAGAGGGTAGGGTTAAAACACAAAGAGCGCTTTTGTGTTTATATACAGTGACCTGGTGGTATAGCCAAAACCTGCTGTAGTATAAAAAATAATATAAAGTACACATTGCCTAAACTATACCTATTTACTCATATTGTATAGGCCACATATATTATTAAATCTAAATATTCTATATTGAATGTTCATTAATCCCACGCCTACACGAGATCCTAAAATTATTATCTGATCAATACATTTCGAAACTAATATGCATTGCTACATTGCCACAGTATTCCAATGGCCGAGTTTTAAACTGAACGCGTAAATATAATATTATACTCGATAATGCGAGTTAATAAGTTTATTTTTATAATATTATATTAAAAATTCATATTACGATTTTGACTCTGATAACAGGATGAAGGACATTTAACTATCACTGTTGTGCAAATCTTTCGTATATTTGTGTACATACGACAACAACAATAAAATTGAGTTATTGAAAACTGAAAGACCTAATAAAACTAGATTATTTTATATCTATATTAAATACTGACGTGGTGCACGGAGTGGAGTGATGCATAATATGGAAGAGGCATATTATATGCATTTGTTCGATAATCGCCAATACGTCCTTGACCAAAATGCACAATGCACTTTTTATCAGTTAGGTGCATTTGATAAACATAATAATACATATATACGCGTAAGGCCGAAACAAATTATTATGATGCAATTAAATATTAACTATATAGGTTGTGTGGTATTTGACAGCTATAACAGTTATTACTTATATACGAACTTTTGAATGCACATTAATTATTGACTTACTTTTGTTTTGTTAAACGAATAATAAATGTTCGATTCCAATTCGTTATATCGATAAAATTTCACTATTATTAGATCAGTTTAATACTTTTAACACAAATTCAATATGTAATGTATTTAAATCCAATTATGCAAGTATAACATAAACATATTAAAATACATTAGATTAAACTATTCATTGAAAAAATTTCAATATGTACTTCACTATACCACAATAAATAGTTAAACGAAATGTATTCAATTTAAAATTAAAATGTTATGAAGATAAAAAGATATTAATTAAATTATTGATATAGTTATTTATTGTATCCACGAATAATTTAACAGTGGGGGTATACGTTGCTATTATAGACATTAGACATGTATTAATTGAATTGATGTAACGGTATAGTATCATGTTGATTATAGTGGTATATTATAATAAAAGTTTAAATAATAATATAATAATCTTCGTAGTTCCGGATGCATGTGCTTTAGGTTCACAATTTATAGAAAATTCACAAGCTTCAATGTATTGAAAAACTGATTTAATTGAATTTAGTGGTGCCTATTAAAATGTACATCAGTATTATTATACATTGTAGAAACAATAGTAATAAATAAGTAGTTGTAAATTCTTATTTATATTGTAACTACGTTTAATCAATATTTCTTCATATCGCTTTTTTGATAAAGATTTCATTCGTTTTCTTATCATTTTTTAAACGGGTTTTATCAAAAGATATACCTACTTAATATGCACACGATATACAAGCATTGCCAATAATTTACGTAATTAAATAATTAATTATTTATTTTGTTGAATAATTACTATATGAAATAAAATACAACAAGGGCTTTTGTGCTGACGACCTTAAATTTAAGTAGAATATTATTGAAATTTTGCATTTCTATAGATAATTACTAAGAATACTGTTTAATATATATATATATATATAATTGTTTATAAATTTGATCAATAATAAAAAAAAAAAAACATTTTAACTGTGTTGGTAATTAAATTAAAAATAGTTATTTATTGTTTTAATTTTTGTTCCAACCTATTTATGCTGATAACTATTTTTCTTTATTACAAAATATTATATGTGATATTATTTAAAAGAATTAATTATGCAAAAACATTGATTATTATTTTACAAAAAATGTTCAACATAGTCTATGGAATAAATTCTACTATTTCACCGCGAGGATTTGTTATCGAAAAATTAAAAAAAATAATTTTTAAAGTAAAGCCTAATATCGTGGTAAATACATACAGCTTGTTGTCTCTGTCTTATCGATGTTTTATTAATTGATTAATTATAAACTTTCCTCGCAGACTGTTTAAACCATCGGCTAGTCGTGTTACAGTTTAGTTGAGCTGCAGATAACAATAATATTGGTTATTTTTTATTCAACACTGTAATAATAATATGTATATTAGAGTTTACTGCAGTGTTATATAAAACATTATCTGCTTTAATAATTGCTATTCATAACTAGGTATATAATATTATGGGGTCATTAGCAAACCACATTTGTATTTGTTTTGGAAGTGCAAAAACAAGTACTTACTATAATTCTTTAATAAGTATCGGTGTTTGATTTAAATGATCGAAAACAGTGTGTGTGTGTGTGTGTGAAGATTTTTGGAATTTCATGTGCATGTATAAATAATTTGAATGAAGAAAAGGGATAAACTCAACTTCGGTCGCAGCCGTCTTAAAATAAGCCCAGACATGTGTTATACAAATACTCATCTATTAAACGAATTTGATTGCTATTTTATTTGAATTGCAAACAGTTCTACGTATTGTAAATTTTAATTTATATTTATTTTCTGTTTATAGGTTATACAATTGCAGAGAATTTATGGAGGACTAATAAATCATCGAGTATTAAAATGAGACAGGTAAATTTAAGTTCTGTTTAATAGTGTATTGTTTACAATTTATTTAGTGCGCAATTTTTCTTCACATATTTAATTATTAAGCATAGGTATATTAATAATGAGCCATCGAGTAACCGATGAAACTATAATATAATAATAATATTTTATAATATGACGTTAATTAAAAATAGGTACACATTTACATATTTATTGTTTTTTTTTTTATTCGTAGAATTTAAGAACATATTATTAGTAAAAAAAAAAAAAAAAAATAATGATTTGCATTGATACTCGATTTTATACTAATTTAACATAAAAATAAACAGGTCACTATATTCATAATGTACTAAATAATTCTGTTTACTTAAATTACATTCTCAAATCACTAATATAAATTAAATTGTATACGATTTATGATATCCGTTAAAAGTTTAAACCGATTTTAAACACCAGACGAATATTTCTTTTTCACTCTATCATTCTCCAGACATTGCACCATCTATTTTCCGGTACAGTGTTATTGATTCTGTCTGGTCTGTTGGCGATCATCACGAACCTTCTACAATTATTTGGTTATTCAGTTTAACGAGTCATTATTTTTTTTTACTATTATATGTGTCTACATAAACATTGGCACGATATTTTCTTTGGTTTGCTGCCCCTCCTTTACTGCGAAGCCGCCGCCAATCGATTCCTTTCGCAGCCGTCTAGAACTGCGTTATCGAACTTTCCGGTCCGCCATTTTGTCGGGACGGATTTACACTAGACAGCCGCCGTAATCGGATACTGCTCCGGGGCAAAAGTTCAACAACCTTTTACTGAGATATTTTAAACATTTTTTTTTCATCTCCAGTAATTTATACTTGAGAATTACAGTAATATAATTATCCCTGTGGGTTCATTGAAATTTGAATGATAAAAATAAAAAATATAAATTTTTATTTAATTTTAATTTTAATTTTAACAAATTTTTATTAATTAAAATATGTGTATTAATTATTTGAAGTAATAAAATCCTGAAAAAATTAGAGGCTTCAACGATCTTATATTGTATGATATTATTACAGTTTATTTGATAGTGTTAAATCATTCCAATTTTAATTTAAATTGATAAGTGCTGCAAAAATCATTTAGACTAAATTGTATCTTTATCACGGTACATTGGTATTTGGCAAACATCATATGATTCGGTTTCATTAATGCTATTTTCTTGTGTTTAGTTATTCATTATATTGGCCTTCCAGTAGTTCTAATAATATAACCTTTGAGGTCGCAACTCGCAAGTTATATTTAATTTAATTTGGATATAAATATAAAACTGCATTCAAAGTGTCGTATGGTTTTTTCCGTTTCTTTTTCTCTTTGTCTAAAATTATACTTTTAAATAAATAAATGAAAATAGATATGGCTCTCTATGATAAATCTAATATGTTTCTGCTGACTACATGAAATGCATCTTTATTTTGGCTAACGCGTCATAATGAAATACTGGCACTGAGAGTATATTATTATATATATATGAATGCATCAGTACAATCGATAGTGCAGTTTGTAGGGTTCTCAGTTGGCACTAGTGACCCATATTCTAACTCTTCCTTGCCCCTACCCTAAGATACCACTCATACTCAGCCCTAAATGTACTGCATCTGACCTCGATGAGCATCACGACGTATGCGTTTAAACTACTGTAGTTATCTTTTTGGCCACGTGATATGAACGAAATGCGCACATTCAGCTAAAAATATATCCGTCTTGGAAGGTGAAATCAATAGACTAACATGACCCTGAACAATCATAAACATCTGTCTCTGTTTATAAATGTGTTAATTTTAAATCATGGTATTTTTGTCCGTTCAGGAAACGCCTCCAATGGAATCCGATTTGCCTTTTGATTTCAATTCAATCAAAGAAGAAGAATTTGACAAATTTGTCGATTACATTGTATTGGATCAACCAGCAGATCCAAATAACCCAAATCGAGCAGAAAGTTCATTACCTAGAAATCTTAAATTGAAAAAAATTGGAAAAAAAGTAAGCATTTAAAATAAACTAAAATTTAGAAATTTAGGTATTATTTATTAACTGATTTTTTTATTCGTAGATTACTGGCGTAAAAAGTGCCATATACATTCCATTAGGTACAAGGTTTGGACCATTAGTAGGCGAAGTATGTGTCAAAGAGCACGCACCAAACGGAAAACGGAAATACTTCTGGAGGGTAAGTTTTATAAAATAAAAGTCAACACTGCTTTTTAGTAATGCTTTTGAACTAATAAGCTATTGGGTTTAATGATGAATTCTTATCTACAACTCTGTCCGTACTTTTTTATTAGGTCCAACTTATGCTAGGCCAAGATAATTTCTGGCGGAAAATGCGCCAACAGGTAAATTTTCTTTGGCTACTTAGATAATACCTTTCTTCTAATAACTATCACCTTGCAGAACTATTAAGTAAAATAAATTTTCTTCCATTTTTTTCATTTATTTAATATTTTGAATTATTTTAGATTTATAAAGAGAACAAACCGTTCTATTACATAAACACATACGATGAAACGAAATCTAATTGGATGCGGTACGTGAGTGCCCCATATTCACCACAATCTCAGAATCTGATCGCTTGTCAATGCGGAGTAAGTAAAAATTATAAATTTAAAAAAATTTTTTGATAAATTAATATTATAAATTTATAATATGAACTTAAAACTCAAAAATTCTATTTAATTATTTAATGTTTTATTTTTGTAGACTGATATATTTTTTTACACAATCCGACCAATTTTTCCAAATGAAGAACTTCTTGTTTGGTATTGTCGTGAATTTGCTGAACGGCTAAACTACCCATCAAGCGTTGAACAGATGATACAGCGAATGCAAGGAAGTAAGTGAAACAACAATATAATGACTATTAAACATTAGATACTTTTTATTAAAAACATATGCTTATCAGTTATTACTTATTAGATATTAATTTTGTCATACACCAAGTGTATACGTTTTGCCTAACTAATACGCCGTGTTATTACAATGATATAATAATACTCGTATATTATTTATTTTGAATAATGATTATACACTTCAATGACTAACAAATATAAATTAATTTTACGGATATTTGAATTAAAGTGAAATTCGTTAAAAATATTTAATATTTTTTTGAGTATCTAGCATATTACATTTTGTATAATTTGATAACGTTTAAAACTTTATTCTATAATTAAAAGTGTAAAATTGCACAATAATAACTTAATTTTAATTTAGCTACATATGTTAATTATTAATTTTTAATTTTATTTAACAGAAATACAAACTTCGACGTCTCCTACATTACCCATGTTAGCCGACGGTGCTGATACAGTGTCATCATCATCAACTCCTTCAACACCTCCACCATTGCCAACAGATAGTGGTGATGTTACACTCAAGACCGGTAATCGCGTCCACTGGCAGGACGATGATATACGTAACGAGTTTGATAAAGCAATGACTAATAATGCAACTTCAATGCGTCGTGTAGTAATTAGTCCAGTCAAAGAATACATTGACAATGGAAATGCTGACGTTTTGCGATTAGATGGGTTACGACTGAGACCTGTAGATGACGAAGGAAAAGCTCAAGGATACGCTCAATCTCATTCAGTACGATCTGATGAAGGATATCATAGCCACACATACCATGATGATGCACCCACACCACCCGAACATTTATCGGATTCTGATGACAGTTCCAACTGCATTTTGGACTACAGGTAAAATTTTTAAATAATTTGAATCCACTAAAATGATTTGCATAAAAGTCTAACTTACATTTAAATATTTAATAATTTATTATATTAACTAAAAAAAAAAAATAAATAATGATTTGTTTTTAGCAAAAAATCGAAATTGCCAAAACCCGACGAGGAAGCAGTTGAAGTTGAAACTAACGAGTTTCTCAAGGTGAAAATTAAATTACGCAAAGCATCTCAGTATAGAAAGGATTCAGATCAACCACAAAAAGAGCAAACACCACCTCTAGCCGTGGTGGCTGCTGAGCCAGTAATTGTCGTCCGTTCCCAATCACCCAAAAGATACGCTGAACCATCATCGTCCAGTGCGCCGTGCAATGATACGGTTGAATCGCTACCAAAAAAACTTAAGCTCGATGCACCCGTTGCGCCGCCCCCGCCATCGGTCATCTATCAATATCCCAGGGATCAGAAATCATTGTTGGAGAACCTTTTGCTGCAAAACAAAGATACAAGTCCACCAGCAGCACCTGCACCGTCGATGACTCCCCCACCACAAATGCCGGTTACCGACCCAACTTACATACAACGTAGCGGCTATGTCAACGCGTCGGTCAGTCCAGATTCGTCTACCAAAGTATTGTCACCTTTACACCAGATGCACCGTAGCCCACCACCACCGGCAATACTCGTGTACCCTACGCCTCCTGGTCAACAAATGCAATACATGCCGTATCACCACCAAACGCATTTATTCTCACCACAGAACGGTGGTGGCTATCAGTGCCACTATCCCGGAAATCACCCAGTGGAATCCAGTGCCAGCAGTCCGCCGGCGGGCTCCATGTCACCGGATGACGTGTCGCCGTGTGGAAGTCCCGGCAGCACCAGTAACTCGCGTGGGTACAGATCTCTGCCCTATCCGATCAGCAAGAAAAACGGAAAAATGCACTACGAATGCAATGTATGTCGCAAGACGTTCGGTCAACTGTCCAACTTGAAAGTACACTTGAGAACGCACTCCGGCGAAAGGCCGTTCAAATGCAAGACTTGTGGGAAGAGTTTTACACAGTTGGCCCACCTGCAGAAACACAACTACGTACATACCGGTAAGATAATTCACCGCGAGTATGATTTATACGTAATACGTATATATAATATAATACAATGAAAATAATTATCATATGAACGATAGCTAATTTTATTGTTTATTTAATCATTAATTACAGGAGAACGTCCGCACGAATGTGATGTGTGTCAAAAACGGTTTAGCTCCACTTCTAACCTTAAAACACATTCGAGGCTACATACCGGTGACAAACCGTTCGTTTGCGAGATATGTTCGTCGACGTTCACTCAACTGGTGCATTTAAAATTGCACAAGCGCATCCATACCAACGAGCGACCGTTCACCTGTCACTGTTGCCAAAAATCGTACATTAGCGCCAGCGGATTGAGGTCAGTACTCATTTCTAATGCCAATTATTTCTGTGGTGGTGTATAACGTGGAAATAGTTACTAACGGTGTATTTGTTTTTGTGCTGACTTTAGGACCCACTGGAAGACCACTTCCTGTAGGCCGCCATACACGGGCGGCAAGGACGATGCAGCCGAACAGCAAATTTCCAGTCCTGATTACCAGGCGTATCATCAAAATAATTACTCGAACGGTATAATGGAACACACTGACGACACAAATCAAAATATTTACGGCGGACCACACGTTGTTGATAAACATGATGACGACGAAGACATGTACGCCCATCTGCGACCACATCATCAACCGGCACTGACGCCCGTCCAACCGGAAGAGATTCAACGACCATCGGTTATCGAACAGAGGCACTTTATTGAGTGCACATAAAGAGACATGATTGCATTTTAAGGCTAAGGATATTAACTGTGTAATATAATTTCAAAGGCCGTAACAAGTGAATTCGACCACCATTACCATTATTGGCCCCTCCCCTCCCGCAAACGTAAAAGGCTAATTATTAAAGACGTATTTTTTTCTGATAAAAATCGATAAGCTCAAAGAAGCCAAATATTTATTAATATGAAAATTTTGTCAAAATAAAAGAGGAATTCTTTTCTTAGAGCAGAAAAAAAACTGCGTTTGAATTTTTTTTTTTTAATTTAGCGGTCAATTTATAGACTTAGCGAAATGTACTGATTGTTAATTTTGTATAGATGTTTAGTTTTGTACTTCTAAAACATATATAATTAAAATGTTCCTAATTTTGTTTCGAGTTTTTTCTATTTATGTAGACTGTAAAATGTAAAAATATAAATACATATGTCATATATACATAAATTATATATTATATAATAATTAATTAAATTAATATTATTTAGCTATATTATTGTATGGTATGAATGATGTTTTGTTGATCTCAGTTATGTTTTGTAGATAACGATTGTGTTGAATATTGGGAAGGAATTTTGGTTGTAATATTTTTCTTTGTGATTTGATAGTGAGGGCACTAGTTTTTTAAGGTTATATTTTCTTCGTTTTAGTTATGCAAAAATAAAAAATAAATCACATTTAAAAATAATATTATCATTATGCCTACATTATAAAAACGTAATTTTGTAATATTATTATGTGAACTGTTATTTTACCTTTTAATATTATAATTAATACAATATAATATGAATTATTATGTTGAATAAAATACTTAATGTGTTTTATTTTAAATTGTTTTGTTTATTATTTGATGCTTAATAGAAGTTCCTTAAAGTCTGATATTCCAAACAGAAGTTGAATTGTTCATTTTACATTTAAATGCAATATTTAATAATTACACTCGAAAAACAATTCTAAGTAAAGATAATATTGCCAAAAGTTACAATATTTTATAAAAAAAAATAGATGTTTGCGCTTTAATTTTATCTATTACAATCATGCGTAATAATATGTTTGTTTCATTTAAAATGTTTTTAAATAAGTATTTTGGTAAACAAAGTATTAAATACTATTAATATATCCAACTATCCACATAGAATTTATAAATGAAATATGTATTTTCAGCAAAAATTGTCCAGTTTAATAACATTTATATAAATAAAACGATATGTTCTCAAAAACTATGTATCTAATGTTCAATACCACCAATTTAAAAATATTTTACTCGATTTGATACCTTTCTGTATTATGTAATGGATAGATAATAAAATAATATAATATTAAACATACATTTACGTTACCTATAAACCTTATAAATTAAATACTAATTATGCAAGTTTATTAGAATAAATAATATTTTGAAACTCTAAAATATTTCATTGAAAAAAATAATAGTTAGAAATTAGACTAATATGAATGTACAAAATAATTTGCTATTTAATATAATTTTATATATCATTATTATAATATAAACATAATAATTATAGTTTTCAATTCTTTTATATATATATAGGCATACAGTATAAAGTAGACATTATATAATGTATTATAACGATTAACAATAATACTTTCATTTCAAGTTTCAACAGTTAATATTGTCGATCAAGTTAAAATTAAACTTTTAACGTTCATTATTTTACTCTTACTATAATGTTACAATACTATAGTTTATTTATTTTTTAATATTATATTGTTTATGAAATACATAGTATTCAGTTATAATAAACAATATAATTATTATCAATGATCGTAATACAAAATTGATGTATAAGCTAATAAAAGTCAAAAAGTTGAACATAAAATAATTAAATTTTTTACAGAATTTCCAATAGATTATGTAATTATAGGTCTAATACCTATAATTGCTATGTAGCAATAGTATTATATTACATAAAATGTGAACTTGTACTAATTCTATTTTTCATATAACTGAATGATTTTAAAAATAGACATCGACTATCATCGCCCGAATAGTATTTTATGATTAACATTATATTATATTACTATTACTATACATATTGTTAGTTAAATGGTTAATATAATATAGTAAAAATAAAATCTTTTAAAGCTATGGTTTGAATAAAACCATATTTGTAACATAGAGGTTTATAATATTGAAAATTCAAATCAACATTTTAGACGATTTAAAATGTTCGATTGTATAACGAGACTGGTTAGTTATTAATTTTAGTATAGTACTTATACGAAATAAATAATATGTTATCTGAAACCCAGTCACTAAAATAAAAAAAAAAATAAATAATGTAACAGTTTTAATTTAAACAACACATAACACAATTATTTTTTTTATTTTTAAACACGATGTATGTGTATATGTATATTTGAGGGTAGATAGGGTCTTGACACAATAACGGTCGATTATTTTGTAACGTAATTGTGAAAATTACGTAGCAACCTATCCTCGGGGGCGTTTTGTTCCTTCTCATATTTTCTGGTCCACCCGAACATCATTGTTGAAACGGTGAACCACTTTCTAATCCGTGTTCGGTTCAACTTCGCGGGGACACCCGACTGCAGACGGCGGAAAGTGGGAATGTTAAGTCGTGAACACGCTATATCGACGGGCTACACAGACCGCCGCGAGTCGCGACCACATACCTATATAAATCGGAGAATCCGTCATCGGTAAACCATTCACTTATTGCCACCGCAGCTTCACACGGTGTGACAATATCATTGTAATTTGTGTTAACTCGTCCAGCAATAGAGTTGTTTGATTGATTTTCTTCGATTTTTTTGTTCATATATTTTGTTTCGCATCAACTCAGTCTGCATATTTTCAGAGTGCATTCAAAATGATGATCGCACAGGTAAGTCATATTTATTTTACTGTTTAATACCAGTTATATATGTGTTGACGACCGCAGAGTTGTTTTATTCGCCTCTTGCTACCTAATAACCTAACGACAATCTATTGCACTCAATTACATATTGTCTGCAGGTATCATCGATGCACTCCATTTCAGTTTCTACGTTTTCTCTCTCTTATTCTTCAGGCTTGTCCTCAAATTCACAGTCGTGCAATGAATATGATGAATATTTCTATTAATCGATATATTGTATAATTTTGCAGTGTCTTTTAGTGGCCGGTATCGCAACAGTAGCGATATCCATGCCAGTCTCCCAGGAAGAATATGCCAGGTACATAGCTCAGCAACAGACGGAAAAGGGCCAACCGATCCGCAGACCCGTATTATTACAGGTGGTCCCAGCCGGCGGTGCAGCTTACCAACAACCGGCGGCAGCATCACCTCGACCAGCTTACCAACAGCCAGCCGCTTATCAGCCACAGCCAGTTGCTTACCAGCCCCAACCTGCAGCATACCAACCCCAGCCCGCAGCGTACCAACCATCATCGTACCAGTCACCCCAGGCCTACCAGCAACCGGAAGAGTACCAACAACCGGAACAACCATATCAGCCATCCGCCCGACCACAAGCACCGCGCCCAAAGGTCCCGACTAAGCCGAAATATCAGAATAGGCCCGAAAAACCGGAAGACGAAGAAAACGACAACAATGTAAGTGGTTTTATTTTTCGATATAATATAATATAAATATATAATAACATCTCATTAGCATGATGTAGTAAAAAATTTGAATATGGAAATAAAAAAATATTTTTGGTTCATAAATGATATTGAATAGGTCTCGATATAATAATATATACCATCACTTTACTATAATTTCAAACTTCGATCATAAAATATAATAAAAGAATAGTTAAATTTAAAATATTCAATCAAATAATCTTACAAAAAGCGAACAATTTTCAAATATTTTTGTTTTAATCAGTTCAATTAGTTATAAATTATAATTCAAACGGAGTTTTTATTAAATGTCTTAAAAATGTTAATATAACTGTTCAAACGTATCTAAATAATTTATTAATTTTTGTTATTTGCTTAACTTTATATATTATATTAAAAAACTGAAATCATTATTCGTAGAGTAATATATTGTTTTGATAATAGTGAACATTGTAACAGTGGTATCTTTTAGTGTTTAAATTTTGAAGAAAAAAAACATTTTTATATTCTTGTATATCATACGTATATGTTTCCAATAAGGACATTAAAATAATGATTATTGTTTTACTAAATCACGAACATTTTATTTTTATAAAATTAATAATATAAATAATAATAATGTATAAATTAAGGAGATAAAAATATATAATATTTTACACTCACGCGTAGTTTGTATACATTATTACTGTAGATGAATAATTTAAACTTTTTTGCTAGTGATATAAGTCTAAGAGAGTTATGTCGATGTAATTTTTTAAAATCAAATCACCATAATCATATTGATATGGACGGTTATTCAATCGGGTATTCTATAGTCACTTATATAACTTTCTTTCGTTATTATGCAGGATACAACATAATAATATAAAATATTATATCGCACAGGAAAGCAAAATACAGTTTGTAATACATTTATCGAAAGTATATAATTCGCGGGGGCGACTAGGTCGAAAAACTTGATCCAGTTACGATATAACAAAAATTAAAAAATAAATAAATAAATGAATAACGTATCGCTATTAGAAAGTAGTTTTAAGAGATCATAGTGTTGCGAACTTATTATATAGATTACTAAGAGTGTTACGAAATATTTTCTAGGGTTTATAATAACTCCGATGTGTATTATTGTAGATATAGCTATAGGCGCGTATGAAAATATATATAAAGATATATTGGAATAATAAAATTTAAATTATTACCGGACATGTGCACGGGAGTACAGTTGTCACGACTTAACCCGACCGTATCGGTTGCGTAACATCAAAGCTAAGCAGTGGCTTTGGATCTAGACGATCATTAAATTCGAACTGTGCGTGCAGAAAATGAGAAGACGTTCACTTTTGTTTCACAACAGACAAATTGTAACAACCAATGTGTAGGCAATGAAGAAACTTTAGAAACGCTTATGTGTATAATAATTGTGACCCAACAGATAATGTTACTACTATTATCGGCATGAGTTGATAGTAATTTAAAAATTTCCTTAGTCCGTTAATTCAAAGACTTAAAACAATGGTTAGTAACAACTGCAGTATTCGTATATATTTAGTTAAACAAAATATAAGTAGTGATTTACTATTAGTATTATCAATAGATAAATATAAATAGATAATCAGTACATGACATGTTATTTTAAATCGTAAAACATTTTCGAAATATTACAACTTATACTTTTAGTTTTTTAAATGAAATTTAAAAACATGTTATAAAGATTATGGGCTTTTAGATAATAGGATTTTTACTTTACACGATGAGCTAGTAGAATATATTTAAACAAAAGAAAATTAGATTATACAATGAAATGATTACCAATCACTTATTAGACTTCAGTATGTACAAAAAGTTTTATTTTGAGGACATTATAAACCATGCGATATTATTGAACTAAAATCATTCAATCATATCATAATATAATATGTTTATTGATTTATTGAATTAATTTTGTTGTGTTATTCCTTATTATTATTTATTAATGGTCCTAATATTTGTATTCATATATTACAACACAGTTAGTGTATAATAAAAATAATAATATGTTTTAATTTCACTTTTTATAACTGTTAAATAATTATGCATTTTTATTTTTATTTTATTTTGTTATAGCCTAATGCTCAGTACCAGTTTTCGTTCGACATCAGTGACGACGAGTCAACAAACTACCACAACCGCAAAGAACAGAGAGACGGTGAAAAGATTTCAGGAAGTTATAGCGTCGTAGATTCAGATGGATTTATCCGTACAGTCACATATACTGCCGATCCTGAAGAGGTATGTCTAACAAGAAGAGGTATTTATTACCTATATGTCCAACATATATTTTCGGTTTATTGAAAATTCAACATATTTATATTCAAATGACTAATGAGATTATTTGAATAATGAATATCGATTTGAAATTAACGTTCGGTTTTTGTGAATACCGTCTTTTCATAACGTAATCGCAATGACATAATACAAGTCCATAGTTCATTTATTATGTAGACATGTTTTATTCATGATTTGAAAATGCTTGTTTTAATTTTATTATTATAATTATTATTTATTGTTAATGTAAAGCGTTTATCACTGTGTCGTATCTAATGAATTCGCATTTATTAAATATTCAGCAGCATATTTTACCTAATACGATAAATAATTAATTAGGTTGCAACTCAAATATATCATAATTCAAAGAAACAATTTTGATTAGTTAATGAAAAGAAAGTTAAAGTAATTATTTTTATAAATGTAAATTAATTTTTAAGAGTTAGGACATTTGTAAACACACATTTATACATATATTAATTGAGTTTAAAGGCCTAAGACGTGACGTTTTTTATATCAGCTATAGTCATTGAAATTTTGAATTAAAATTTAAAACGTTCCATAAAAAAATTGAACGACAGTATCTAATACAAACACTATAAGTACATCGTATACAATATACATACTATACAATAATGCGATTGTGCAATGAACACCATCGTACATTGACAATCAAGCATACTCACAACACAAAACGTATCTATATCATATCGATTGCATGGGACGTATAATAATTATTCAATTCATAAATATAGGGATTCAAAGCCGAAGTGAGCCGAGAACCGACCAACATTCAAATTAAGATTCCCACTCCAGCACCACAAACGGCATCGCCAGCACCTCAATACAGATTGCCCGAAAGGAAAGCCCAGCAGCCGCAGTACATATCAGTCCAGGTGCGTTAATATACAAAAATAATTTCAAAATCACGCGCGATGGGCAACGGCAATTCATCGGTGTGATTTGATCATTCGCCAACGGGAGTATAATTATTAAAATAACTGTCCGATACGTCTTTTTTTTGTTTGTACAGAGACACTATTCGCGTCACACATCAAGTGACTTCTTGATTCTTTTTTTTTTTTCGAACAATAATATTCGTTTTTTATTTTATATGATCGATCCTCGTATGGTATTATACGTAAATACCCGTATACCTATATTATAACCGTATGCGAACAATAAAATAATAATTTGATCAAATCTCCACAACTGCAAGGAGGAGTGATTCACGTCTTCTCTCGTCAGACGCGCCACCGCGCGCAAAACATTATTCAATTTGGAAAGAAAAAAAAACACCCACACAATAAAAACGATATAACTTTTTAAAACATTATAATGAAAATAATTTCATACGAACGATAATAACAATGTTTGTATAGGTAATATAAAATAAATATATAAATGTATATGTATAACAGCTATAGTTAACGGTTATCGGCCGAGACGAACCGATGTCGACGGCACAATAATAATACTATAATAAACGTTGACGATTTTTAAAAAATTAATCAAATTTTTTTTTCCGTCGGTCTCCCCCACAGGCTAGCGAACCCGAGTCCGCGGCGCAACCGGCCGAACCGATCTCCGGTTACTACCGCAGTCCGCCGCAACAGGTGGTCGTCAAGCAGGCGCCGGCCGCGCACCGATTCGCCGCGCCCAGGCCACAGCCCGGCCACAAAGCCAGCGCGCTGGGCTACGCGACGGCGCCGACCAACTCTCCGACGATCGTCTACCAAGCGTACGACCAGTAAACAAATGCACAGCAACAATAGCACGCGCGCACGCACACATTGCAGTCGCGCGTGGCGGTGGACGGACGGTGGCGCGGCCGTCGTCCGGCGCTACTGCACGTCATCTCAGACCCGGAACACGCGCGCCTCGGCGTCCCAACCGCAGTCGGCCATCAACCCGTCCCGGTCGGCACTCACGTCCACGCCGTACACGTAGTCGGTATGGTTTTGGTGGCTCTGCCGCGGTTCCGACGACACACCGTAATCCCATATCCTATAATATTAATATTATGTATACATTATAACGATAATATTACGATTGATATAAATAAATAATATTATATTATACGCGCACGACGTACTATATTCTTTTAAAACAATATTACCTATATATTATTATAATACATATATATATTAGTGTTTGTAGTGTTAATCGATCGCAATAATAATACGTATTATACTGTAACGTGACAGCGTTCACATTATTTTTGTTTCATAAATTTACGGCGTTATAATATTAATATTGGTATTATAGTCTTAGCAAAAAAAAAAAAAATAAATAAATAAATAAATAAAAAAATAGATAAAATGTTATTTTTACGTACTTTGTCGTGCAATCGTATGACGCCGAAACCAACGTGGACCAGTGGTGAGGCGAACACTGCACTCGCTTTACGGCGTCCTGGCAACCCTGTAATCGACGAAAACAAAAATAAAAAAACGAACTTTTTCAAAACTCTGTTGTCCAAGTGACGGATTTGCATTTTCGCGACGTGTGTGTATACCGACCTCCAGCTGGAAAATCGGCGTTAACATTTTCCGCATGTCCCATATTCTAATCAATCCTTCGGCCCCGCCGGTGGCCAATACGAACGGATAAAACTGGTTCCACGAACAGCTCAATATCTCTGCTTGATGTGCGTTTATCTTGACGCTCGGCCGCAGCGGTGACGAACAGTCCCAGATGTTCAACATCCCGTCGCCTTTTTATAATTTAATCAAGAATACCAAATTAATAGATTTTATAATCGTATTTAATATCATTTGGATCGATTTCCACCAATGTACCCTCAACCGTTAACTCCATAGCTGCAGTTTTCTGCCAAAAGTTTTACTCTAATTTCCGCAAAAAAAATAAAAAAAATATCAATTTATTATTTTGGATATTTTTTTAAAACTTTTGAATCTAAATCAACCAAATTGTAATGATCGCGATGTACGCGCACACTTCGCCTTATTTCAATAATCTCTATATTTTTATATCGCATCAATATTACTTTTTAGCGTCGAAACACATTTGATTATGAAATTTATTGTACAAAAATTAAACATATTGTTGTTAGTTAAAACTTAAAAGTTTCACAGTACAAAAACATAATTTTTTTCGTAGCACCTTTACTGCATAATGCAATATATTGAGATGTATTCGCTTGGATATACTTAAAATGTTTGAATTTTACTAATGAGCATAATATGTCTACGGTTACTCGTTATCTTGCCATCACTTCAATATTTTTAAATATTATACAAAAATATACCTACAATCAATGCAGTCAAGAAATTAACTAAAAAATCAATAAGTAATTTTCCGCTGACGTTGAATGACTAAATAGCTTTCGTCATCGTCCGCGATAACACCCTTGATAAACCGTTTATGGACGCGATGTAATAACCATAATAATACGAGGTATAAAATCGTCTCAAAAAATATCTAAAATAATATGTCATAATTATTATTACTATTTTTTTGTGGAAATAAAAATATAGTCCTTATGGAAAACGGACATGAAGATAACGGACGAGGGTCAATTCGTAGGTGGAAAATGGAAACACCCATTAATATGCTTATGTATAGGCACGTCATAATAACGTATTATTTTATCCCACCTGAAACCGACGCAAAACACGAAGACAAAAACGGAGACCACTTGGCTTCGTAAACCAGTCTGTCGTGTCCCTTGTACGTCGTCAGCGAACAATACTTGTTGGGATCCCACTGTAAAAAACAAATAATTTTAATATTAACAACATAAGAAATAACGCTATTGTTGTACCGGAAACGATTAGGTATATATATTTTGTTTTATTCACATACAAGTTTAACCGAACAGTCCCATGACGCGGACAATAAAAAATCATCAATAGAGTTTTGACACCAGTCTACACCGCACACTTCTTTCTTGTGTTCATTAAACGTTCTTACAGGTTTCTGTCGGACAACCGATACGATATTTGTATTGCATTACGTTACACTTAAAATTATTATTTTTGATTGTATGTTCATAATAAATTATATATTACTTGCGGATATTTATAATTCCACATCTGCACTGTTCCGTCTCCGCTGCCCGTCACTAGTAAGCTATAAACCGATCTGCTCCACACCACGTCGAATAATCCATCGTCCCAGTGCATTTCATACTTTTTGTTTATCAAACATCTGTCTTCATCATACGTCACCAAAAACAACGTTCCGCCGCCTTTAAATCCGTAATATTGTGATGTGGCTATGGCTAAGAAGTTTGATCGATTCGGTGAAAATTTTACCGAATATCCATGTCGGTTTTCAGTTTTAAAAGTAGTCATCGGGAACTTAAATCTGAAAAAATTATAAAATTATCTTAAATACGAACAATTAATATTAATTAAATATTATTTAATACAATATTAAATCACATTAATTAAACTAGATGAAATTTTTGTTGTTTTATTTATGTGTAGCTAAATTACACTATTCATTATTCAATAGTTTCAATTCATTTGTATAATAGATTTAAATATTAAATGAAATCTAAACATCATAAGATCACATAATTCCATTCAAATAAATTAACTACTTATGATAAGATAAATAGGTATTTAATACTTTAAAACAACTTTAGCAGTAAATAATCAAATGTTTTTAATAATATTAATACAATATATACTTAATAATCTATAATCATTTATGTATAAGAACAACAGAATAATAAAATACCTATGTCATAGCACAGCCATCGTTATTTATAAAATATAGTAAATTGAATAGTTAAATAGGCTAAAAATCTAACTACCTTAAACTGCATTATAATTGCTGAAATTATGGATATAAAAATTAGTATAAAAATTGTCTTTTAAATTTTTGTTTGTTTATAAATTATTTTAAAATTTAATATAAGTCCATCAAAAATAAATTAATGAAATTTTAGATTTGAAATACAATTTTAATTTACAGAATTTGATAATAATGAAAATAAGTATGTACATATTAAATTATACTGCTGTATGTTGAATTATTAACACAAATCAAACATCGTATGTTACATATTTTAAATAACTGAATGACTATTAAACAGTTATTTCGTAGGAAAAATGTCTAACTATAAACATAAATTTTATGTTTATATTTCATACACAAAAGTTACAAGCGAATTATAAACATAAAAAATATTATAACACAAGCCATGTACTTATATTGTGAGAGAAGCCACCCGTTGGTGACAACACTTGGTAGGTACTTTGACACGCCAAGCAATTATTTTTGCAAAAGGTCACAACACGTAGAAACCATTCGCTTTTAAATATCTGATGAGGCTTTCTCGATAGAGTTAATGTAAATAAGTAGTTAATATAATGATGGATATTGATTTTAATATAAAGTTACTGAGTCAACTATATATGCAATAATTACGGTTTAAAGAAAATTGCATTAGTAATATATTATACCAAACATTTACAGACTGTTTTAATTACGGCAAAAATTATATTTAAATCGAAAAACATTGCAGGTTTTACAATGATATATTTTTTTAATGAAATTTTTTTATGTATACTTTTTTAGGAATAAGCTCAAAGGTATTCATGTATCATTTAAAAATATTCTAAAAGGAGCCATTTCTATGTCCAATTAATACTTTTTTTAAAGTTGAAATAGAAGTCAAAAAAAATAAGTACTTAAGTAAGTGTATTATAAAACATATCTACTGATTTAAATGTTTTGAATCGATCAGTGATACTTTGGACAGATCATTTTTCTAATTTCCCAACATTATTAATTATTAATTATTATGCATTCTTTTTTAATAAAATTTAAACTATTTAGACTATTTTAGGGTAAACTATCGAGTGCTGTTTTTAATCATACTTGAATTTGTAATAATTTAATGAAAAAATGATTGTCATTTGATTTCTATGTATAATAGTTAAAATATAAAAGGCTTGTATCGAGATGAACTAAGTAAAATAAAAATATAATAACGACATCTAGTTTTTGTCAGTAGTCTGTACTCTAATGGAGCTGTTATCACTTTTAATTTGATACTTAATTTTAGGCCTTATAGTTAAGTTTGTTAAATACTTTGGTGCCTAATTAACTTATAACAACTGATCTATGGTTTTGTAAATTCAATTTTAAATATGATTTAATTTGGAATATTTTATTATTGACTAACGAATTAATTATTATAAAATCAATACATGATATTACTTAAATATTTTCTTAAACGTACTTATAAGTTATGAAAAATATTTAAATAATTTTGTATTTTTTTTAATAAAATTAAACAAAATATATTAAATTTCTGAAATCTTATAATTTTATCTTTAGTTCAAAAAACTTATGTAAGCTATAAATTATAATAATTACACCAATATTTTAAAAATTATGAAAATATTTACACAAATCAGGTCAACAGTTTTATGTAAAGTAGTTTAAAAAGGCTTCTTGAATAGGATAAGAAATCGATGGTTTTTAGAAAAACTTTATGTGATTGGAATTTTAACAAAGACATTTTTTTACAGTGACAAAATATCAAAGAACTTCCGGGTCTTCATTTAATCTAATTACCTTATGACGATATAATTGTAAAAAAGAAACCCTACGGGGGAGCTTGAGTAACATCGATCAACTGTTTAGTCCGACATTAGACGGGTCACATTCAACCAGACCCTCGAATCAAGTGTTTTGTATTTTTATTTCATCATAAATTATGATACCTTTATTATTTCTTTATTTTATAGCAACGCTAAAAGTTTTTAAAAAAACAACGCCAAATGGTAATTTAATGTCAATAAAATGTAATAAATTAATTTTTATTCGAATACTTAATTGTTATTTTTAGGAAAAGTCACTATATACGTCAGTAAACGAGATTTCATTGACCACTTAGACAGTGTTGATCCAATTGATGGCGTTATCGTAGTCGAAAATGACTATTTACAGGGACGAAAAGTTTTTGGAATGGTAAAAATATCACGATTTCATAAATGTTATTGTTATCTACATAATTGCTTTTCAGGTTTCAACGACTTATAGATACGGTCGAGATGAAGATGAAGTAATGGGTGTAAAATTTAGTAAAGAAATGGTGTTGGTATGTAATCAAATTGTTCCACCAATTAAAGAAGTTGCAGAATTAACTCCTATTCAAAAAAAATTGGTGAAAAAATTTGGTAGCTCTAATGCATTTCCATTCCTTTTCTACTTTCCTCCAAATTCCCCTTCTTCGGTGACCTTGCAGCCAGGCGATGATGATAGTGGAAAACCACTTGGAGTTGAATATAGTATCCGAACCTTTGTATCAGACAGAGAAGAAGACAGAGGAAATCAAAGATCATCCATCGTGCTAGCTATTAAAAAGGTATGTATTTTTCAAAAGTAGTAAATTTAACATATAAATGTGTAAATACTCAGTTACAATACGCTCCATCAACAAGAAGCCAAAGACTACCAAGTTCATTAATTAGCAAAGGATTTACGTTTTCACACGGAAAAATTAGCTTGGAAGTTACATTGGACAGGGAAATATATTATCATGGGGAAAAAGTTATTGCCACACTTGTCATTAGTAACAGCTCGAGGAAGTCCGTAAAAAACATTAAGGTAAAACAAATATATTTCAATACAATTGCAATAATTAATAGTCATTAATTTATTACCATTAATCATAAAAGGATTTAATCATAATTTATTATAATAATTATTTTTAATTTAAAAAATAAATAATAATATTAAATGCATATATTATTATTATACCTAGGTATATGTTGTTCAACATACCGAAATTACAATGGTCAATGCGCAGTTTTCTAAGTTTGTCGCTAGTTTAGAAACCCGAGAAGGTTGTCCGATAACACCGGGAGCCGCTTTTACTAAACAATTCTTTTTAGTGCCATTGGCGTCGAGCAATAAAGACAGAAGAGGCATTGCATTAGACGGACATCTTAAGGTATAAACTATTTTAAACGCGTAAACGCGGGTGTATATTGAATTAAATGTATAATTAAAAATATACACCACAGGACGACGACGTTAATTTGGCATCTTCTACATTGATATCGGAAGGTAAAGGTCCTAGTGACCAAACTGGTATCGTTATTTCATACTCAGTTAGAGTAAAGTTGAATTGCGGTACTCTGGGAGGTGAACTCGTGACCGACGTACCATTCAAACTTATGCATCCAAATCCATGTAAATAATATGTTAAATATTTGTTTCGTAAAAATTTATTTAAAAAAAAAATAATATTAATTTCAGCATCCGAAGACTGGACTGCGTCTAAACAACCACAAAAAGGAGTATTGAAGAAGACCAAAAGCTCGGACAGAATGAAGTATCAAAAGAGCTTTGGTGATGACGACGAGGACAATATTGTGTTTGAAGACTTTGCAAGACTTAGGTTGGCTGACGAATAAATAAAACCATTTGAAAATTGTAAAATGTCTAAAAATTGTATTAAATTGTGTTCCCTTCGCTTAACTCGCATTGGTAGGAAAACCAGGATATGTTGAAACTTCAAATTATTACTATTATTATTGCAAAATTATAATAAATCAGTTCATTGTCGTCTTCTATACAATATATAATATGTACTCGATATTTAAACTACATTCCGATAGCGTCTTATTATAACCTGAAATACAGGATTCGATTCCCAGCCAAATATCCCTCATAACAATGATGTTCAAGAATTTTAGGGAGAATATGTCATCGGCAATAACCATTACGACGATCATGAACCGGAATATTCAGTACTGGTTCGATTTCCGTTTTTCACACCTTTGACCCCTCATGACTAATATTCACATACATATCTTGTTTGACCGATACCCCAAACGAGGGATTCAATATCGTATGTATATGTAAGTTTGGTATTATAGATGTTTTAATTCAAACTAGAATACTTTTTATTATTTCCGATTTAAAAAAAAAAATACTCGTCAAACATGTTTATGTAATCTTTACATTATACAATTGAATAACTACTATCGACGGGTAACACAATAAAATCAAAGCAAATATCGCTACTACACATATTCAGGAATCGTAGGTACCTACTTGTTTGCCAAAAATCAACATGTTAGTTTGTATTAGTATAATATCATTTTAATAGGTGACGTATTTTTTTTTAAATCTCATAGTCTATATTTAATTTATACTAATATTTATAATTTACATACAAATATATAAAACAATATTAATATAAACTTATGCAAAATGTTAAAATAAATAAAATATAAGTCAAAAATCATTAATACGGTTAAAAATACATTTATGTAGGTAGAGGTATAAGTATTGGGAATACGAAATAAAATCCACTAACAAAGATTTGTAACCAATTATTGTTCATAAAATATCATGTTTTATACAAATTTTTAAAATACATATACCTATCAACTAAACAAATATTATTATTATATTATTTTATTATTTATATACCTAATTATTTGAAATAGATTTAATTATTTTAATTATTATTTTAAAAGAAACATAAATTACTACAGTATTATTTAATTATGCATTTTGAAATAAATTATAATAATAAATGAAATATTAACAAAAAAACTTAAGTTTATTTTATTATCTCATAGTATCATTATTACTTAATAATTATAATTAATAGATACATTTAAAAAATAGACCCAATCAATTTTTAATAATTGAACTATTTATATTAAAATTTGTAACTTTTTTTTATCAAATAAACCATACGATTTTAACTAAAATTAGTTTGAAAATAATATTAAAATCTTATATGGAAATGGTAATATTTTTAAATCGTAATAATTAAAAATATAATTTATAAACTTTGATCTATTTATGTTAAGTATTACATTTACATTTTTATTGTTTACAGGTTTAATTAGGAGATATTTATCTATAACCAATGATAGATTGTACTACTGTATAAAAAATATTTATTTTACAACTATGTAGCCACAAACCCATATCTAATACTAATTATAATAATAATTATTATTTGCTATAATAGTTATAATATTTCCTAAAAGGCGTAATTTTTTTAAATTCTTCGCATATTGTTTAGATATAGGTTACACACAAATCCTTTAAATATTTGAATAACTTAATATTATTAATATAACTTATATTAATGTATAAGAAATGGGTTGTTTATTGTTATTAATAAATTGTGTACCAATAATGTGAATATAAAAAATAAATGATGTGATAAAATTTAAAATATTGATTAATCCTAAGATTTACCAATAATAATTCCTTTTATTATAATGCCCAAATTTAAGTAAATTTTATATATCCTATAGTCATATACTTTCTAAGATAAATATTTAACATTCAGATATTATCTATTCGTCTAAAAACCTACCGGTAGAACTAAAAGTGCCTATCATGATATAATATATTATATGTATAAATTTCAGTATATGAATTCTACAGTAATCCATTTAATTGTCTACCTAACGCAAAAAAAAAAAAAAAAAATTAAAAAATGTTTAAATATTTTATTTACATAGTTTGATGTCATTATAAAAAACTTATAAGTATTTAAGATTAAGGTGAGTGAAGAAAAAATAAGTACCATTCTAAAAACATTGATTCATTATTCCACTTATCAAAATATTGAAAACGTATTATTATTGATTAACGAAAAATACTCATTAGGAATTTTATTTTATTTTTAAACATTTAAGTACTCCAAAACATTTTCTATTTTAGAATATGAAATTAAAAATGTATGTCGTCATTGAAAAGAAGTATAAATTTAATAAATAGTAACGTTTAACATTAATCAAAGTATAATTGTTCTTTAAAAATGTGCTTTTGCAATGTTATTAAACTATGTAAATATTGTAGATTAGATCGTAATATTTTAAATATTATATTTTATATATTTAAAAAAATATATACCTTATTAAAATATCCTTATAATAGATAAATAAATAAAATAAAATAAAATTATTTTTGTTTGTAATGTTCTTTATAAAATATGTTTCAAGATTCAAATTATTTCCTTAATAATGAATACAATAATTCTCACTTACTTCAAAAAAGAACTCCAAGTGTGCTCTTAGGCCTGTTGTTGAAAACTGTTGATTTGAGGTGTGGTCTCAAAAGTACTGTAAAATAAATCCCTACCTAAAAAGGGTTAGCGTAGTGTTGACCCAATGACCAAAGGCTGTCGGCTCTTCGTTTAGGGTTGGGCTCCCCCCAGTATATCTGCGCCCCGTAATTTTAAATTTATGCTTGTGGGCATTTTATAATTATGATTTACTGTTGTGCAAACCCATCAATCACTCAAAAAAAAACGGTCGGTGATTTTAATGTTTATACAGCCGGACATATCTTTCTTTTACTATGTTTTTTTTAGCCACTGATCTCTTTTTTCAAAGAAAAAATTCTCACAGAATACGTTGAATCGTATAATTTGTAAAGTGGTAATAATTTCTTTAAAATTATGTATACCAAATGATCAAATTATTACTCTGAGGCATAGTAAATACTTTTATTCTAAAATTCTAAATCTTAGTAGTAAACAAATATAGTCTAAATAGCAATATATAAATAACTTAAAAATAATATCTTCAATATAATATAGTAGTTTATTCGCTAATAATGCATTATTAATTAAGTTATATCAAGTTCAAAATTTCGTATTTAAAATATCACAACATAAAAAAATGTTTTTATTTTTTATTTATTAAACCACTTTCTAATAATTTATTAAATATCTACTAAATAAAGGGACATGAATGATTTATTAACTACCTATCTATTAATGTGGTTTTTCTCATTTAAGTCGTCAATGCTAATTATACTATTTAAAAAAATTGACAATCCAATGTATAAATGTAATAATTGTATGTAAATGTGCTAGCTACTACAAAAATAAAAAAATAAATATTTGTGTGGAACACAAGCAAATTTACTACTTATATAAAGAAGACTATAAACATTAGGATAATAAAATACAGAAAAAGCATAGTAAAGTATAATAATGAATAGGAAAATTAGTATCGGATAATATATTTCCCGAAATGTAATATACAAGAATAAAATTCATAGAAATTATTAATACAGACAATAGTAAATAACATGACAATTTGCTGTAAATTCAATAATTTTCCGCGATCTTTCCTCGGCTTACATGTATTTAGAACTTAAAATAATTATCAAGTCTTCTCCTACTATAATACTATCCACCATTTACTAAAAATAAACAAAAATTTGATTAATATTTTGTTTTCTAACATATATAATAATAATAAAAATATTCGTTAATATTTGAAAATTATTTAAAAATTGGATTCTATTTTTTGGTTCAATATGGTGTTATGTCTTATGCGTTACAAACTTTAGCCAACCACCAAGCCACCTTATTTAGGAAATAAAAGTATTTTTTAACCTAGAAATTACTTATTAATTTTAAATTAATACAATTAAGTATTGACACATTTTTGATTTTTCGCTGTTGTAAAAACTATTTATTTGATTATTATTGACAGTTATCCATTAGGTATATTATTTTTAATACTTTTATGTATTATTGTTATAATAGCTCATGGTCCATGGCTACATAGGTAGAATTTTTAATCAAGGAAACTAAAATATTAAAATCATTGATATGGTGGTAAGTGGTTATTTAATTTTGTTTTTCTGCTTAAAAGTTTACTCTTAATAATAAAAGAAAAAAATCTTTTCTGATCTCTCTATCTACGTGACATCTACGTTGCAGTTAATTGCAACGTCAAATTTCAGTTTTTCGCATTGTTTATGACACCGACACCCTATCAATAATTTACTAACTTCGCTCTTGACGATTAAATGTGATTTTTCCAATGATCTCATATGTTTCATAAACGTATCATATTGTAATAATACCATCTATAATATTACCTATATAGTATATACCACAGCCTTTTATATAAATATACGTAACACAGTTGCGCGTGTTTGCGGTTTTAGAAAATTTACACGTAAGGTGTAAAAAAAAAAAAAAAATCACGACGATAATATTATAATATGTTGACGGTGGACACACAATATTATTATATTATTATTATTATTATTATTATCCGATAGCCACGTATCGTCGTCGTGCTGCAGTGTGCAGACGTGCAGTGTCTGATAACACTCGATTAGGTACCGCACGTCCTGCAAGTCGGAATCGGACACCCCATGGACACACACACACGCACGCACACACGCCAACCCTTTTCTATTCTAATTATGCAAAGTCGAAATAAAGCGCAAAAGGGGGAGCCGCCGCAAGTATAATGGTGTTACGGTTCCGGTGCCGGCCGTTGTTTGGTGATTTATTACAGTGGCCGTAAACATTGAGGCTTCACGCGTTTCTCTGCATACGCGGAAACCGGTTTCCGGTGTTTTACGCGACTATCGGCCAGTGCCGTCCGCGAAAGGAAACGCTGCTCACCGTGTGTTTTGTCGTTGAACCAGTACCTTGTGCACGTAACAATGTAATAGTACCCTCCTCGCGGACTCGCGTGTGACCAACGGTCGCACAAAACAAGGGCTGTAAGTGCATTGTAATCTGCGAGGGAATTACCTAAGCTAGCGTAAACATTGAAAGGATTTACAAAACGTTTTTTTTCCTTTTATCTTCTCCCGTTGCATTCCTACTCGCTGTCTGTAGGTACTGCATATACGGCGGTCTTACTGCAACCGCGGCGGGAATAATAATAATAATAATAATGATAATAATAGTTACTTTCGAGAATAGCGACCAGCCGGATCAAGGACTTTATGCGGGGATTAAAACGAAACAAAATGAAATATCATATAGGTACGTGATGTTTTACGGCCGCGCTGGATATATGCTTCGAAAAATCAACACGTGTTCGCATCACAATGGTACCGGCTAGTGGTGGCATCCAGATGACGATTACCGAGGAATCCGTTTTATTTGATTAACCAAAACGAAAATAATTTCTCTGGAGTTTTATTGGTTTTAAATTTATAGGAATACCTATATCTGTAACGTGCTGCAAATAAACATCGTGCTGAGAATTTTTTCGCCGGAAATTCGTATTCCGATTATCGATTGAAACAAACCAATTAACCGATATTTATAATTTTCGTTGTTATAACTTATAAACTAAATGAACTATTTCTCTTTAATTAATTTCCAAAGTAAAAAAATTTGATTATCAATTTTAATATAGTAATAATCGTACACATAAGTAAGGAAATAATTTATTAAGTTTATATTACTCGTAGTATAAACTTCATAGGCATAATTGTCTAATGTATAGCAAAATATATATGTTTAAGTTTTATAACAGCAACAATAAATATTAAATAATATATTATTTTATGTTATATTCTTGAATAAAATCTATACATGATATGAATAAATAATAATAATACAGTTAACAATATAATATTATAATAATTCTAGTAACTATTTTTATTTAAAAAAATACTTGTAGCTTCCGAGTATACAATTAATTTTTTCATTGTATTTAACTATTAGTTTATGCATAGCTCGTTGCACATAAAAAAAACTATATATATATATATATTTTATTTTGTGTTAAATAAAATAACTTTTTACAGAATATTGAGAAAATAACAATTATACTCATAATATAGCTACAGAATATTCTCGATTTCTTGGTGTATCGAGAACCAAACAAATTGTTTTTTATAATGAGAAGAATTCTTCAAAGTGAAATCTATATTTTCTTTAATGAAATTTTTCAAGTAAATAGTTTCTAGAAATAAGTTATATCGTTATATGTAAATAAGTATAACAATTGTCAGTTGATTTCAGTCATTACCTATTATTGTGGTATTAAAAATGATTTTATTTTGATAATCATACAACAAATATATATATATATATATATACTTATTATACATTATTAAAAAATAATTAATTATAGTAAAAAATATAAACTGTAAATAACTCAAGTAATGCAATCAAAAAAAATAATAATAATATAATCAGTTATTGTAATTTGTAGATATAATGGTATTATAAGTTTATATAAATTATAAATTTATAAATAAAGCATCATGTTACCGTATGTAGACAAATAAACAAAATAATTCGATTGGTATCAATACAATTTCTATTTGAAAATTATTCTCACCTATTTTTTTAATTTTTTTATTAGAGTAATTTGATATATTATAATGTATAGTGTTGATGTTTTATGGCCTAATTATGACCGGAGCCTTAATTAATTATCGTGTTACCTGCAATGGTCAATATGAAGGGGATTATTATAACACCCTACTTCGTTCCCATCAAAACCAGTTCTGGACACTAGGTATCTTTCTCCCTCGTCGAGTATTTAATTAAGAGTGCTAAACTGGTTAATTGTCTTTTGTTCACTGTGTATAGGCATATACCGATGTTTGTTTAGCGGCTAAGGGAAAAGGGATAGATATCCATCCAACCCCAACTATGTTTATGTTAATTAGCTTATAGCCTTTACTATACGGATGAAACTTGATCTCATTACAACAATATACGATGTAGGTATTTTTCAATAAAAGAGAGAATATAGATAACGCATTCAATAATACTCCTTTTCCTTAGCATAAATTTTGAAATATTGCAGTGTTCAAGTGTGGCTGTGAAAAAAGAATAATCAATGTTAAATAAAATGAAAGCTCACTGTTAGACTTATTATAATATAATTGATTGTCTTGAAATATTTTAAAACTTTGAAATCAATTTAAAGAATTGTCAAAAGAACAATTTATTTCATTTAAAAAAATGTAACTATATCTTTCATATTAAATTCGCCATCGAATATTCTATAATGTTGACAAAATTGATTTTTAAGGCACAATTTTTTAACAATTTTACAATTCAGGTTTTAAGAACTATCATAAATATATTAAAGTAATATTAGAGTAAAATTATATGTAAATAAGAGAAAAAAATGTAAATTGTGAAAATTGTTGTACTTATATATTTTTTAATTTATTGAATATTATTGTATAGGTATAGTTATAATTGTAATGAATATTTTAAATTTCCTATTATTTAACATAAATAAAAAAAATTTTATTTTGAATTTATTTCCTTGAATAAAGATTATTATTACTATTATTATTATTATTATTATTATTATTATTATTATTATTATTATTATTATACAATTCACGTCAGAGAAATTAAATTAAAACATTTAAGATTACAGAAACAAACGAATAATTTTTGTTTAAATTATATTTTTTGATGTCATTTAATAATATATCAATACTGAATATATATTTAGTTGAGTGTTATTTATAATATTATTACTTATTTTAATTTTATTTTTAATTTATATTTTACACTGCTTTTTGGATGCCGAAATATTTACGAAATATAATTTTATTTTTAAGTAGGCATTATACGTGCATATGTAAAGATTTATTAATGAATAAAATTTACTTGTTTTTTTTATTTCTGTTAAAATAACCAACACAAATATATACTCACAATAGAATGTCATTATTGCCGTAATAGATAAACTCTCTTTGTATTATGTATATTTGCACATCCTGCGTCCTGCGCATTCTATTTACTTATTACGATTTACGGTCATCAGTTTATTACTCAAAACGATCGTACAGCTAGTGTACACTATATTCTGTGCAACACACATTAACAAATTCGAAATTGTTTATTTATTTATTAAACCATTAAGTTTTGTAGCGGATTTTTAAAAGACTTTTACGCGTGTAATACGCATTACATACCTTCGTCATATTTATAATTTCATTGTAATAAATCTTAAACGATATACATGTAGACAAAACGTAACCGTACAGTTTTTGGCGTTTCAATATACTTTCTTATTGTAGATGTGGTAAATGACAATTTGACATTACGTCCGTACCTATATTATAATGCAATCATGTATAATAGCTAATAATCGTTTACAATGTTCGCTTGTTCATAATTTTATCCACACAATTACCTCACTGGCACACATAAATATTTATAGTTATTCATCGCATTAATATTATGATCTTGGTCAATCGAACTGGCCGAAAATTATTGGCATCATTGAGATGACTCGACGAAAATCTGGAACATTCAGGTCGCTTAATTTCATACGTAATAATTTAAAACGCTGATGTCTTTCACGTAATATTTTAGTAGATGCGTATTGTAATACTATGTTGTAAGGCAGATTGAGCGGCGTCTTGGATTTCACCAAAAAATAACCTAAAATATAAACCAAAAAAAAGTCATATGAACTGCAAAGCACTATATTACGGTACAATGAATAAAATGTATTATTACGTGTTTGAACTCGTAAGTAGGTATACCAAAATATACGCCTTATAGCACTTTATAATATTGTATAAATTGCATAATTATACAGCTAAAGTTCTACGCGCAGACCGCACAACCACAACGACTGCAGTTTTTGCAAACCGCTAACAGCAATCGTAGCTGCAACACGCTGGAAAAGACACGGGCTCACACTCCATAGGTCTCGTCGGAAAACTACCGTGTAACAAGAAACAATGCGTTTTGATTTTACGATAGTGGCGGCAATATTATATATTGTGCACGGCGCGTGCAATATAATAATAATAATATAATAGTAGTGTGCAGGCCGCAGACACGCGGAAATCCGACACGATGCTGATAATCGGAACGGGTTTCGTTACGATCGATTTAGGCGATTTCTCGTACCTACCTCGCCAGTGTAGTACGTGAAAACTCTAAAACTAATACGAGTACGATATATATATATATATAGCTATTCGTAATAATAACCATATCAGACTCGCTGAACGCCAGTGGATAACACAGCGAATAAGACCGTCGTGAAAACATGACGTCCCCTGTCGGGCCGATCTGCAGTCCACGCTATTTTTGTCTGCTATTGGTGTCGGTGAGTATTTGATAATAATTGTAAAATATATTAATATATTTATATAGCTTTACATTTTAAGTATTATAGTAGTTATCTGTATTGAGTTAATGGCGGTAATTATATGCCAGCGGGATATCGAGACTTTTCCTAGCGTGGAACGCGACTAATAATGGGCTATTCGTACAAATAATAATTATACATTCCTACTTATAACTGTAAAGAAAAATAAACTGAATAAAGTTAACATTGATAAAAGTTAAAGTGATTTATTAGATGAAATATTATATAGGTATATTTTTTTTTTAATTTAACATTATAAATTCTGTTCTTATTTAGTGCAAAACGTGAGTACTTTAATTTATTAATTATAACTTCGAGAGCAACATGTTCTGAAGACTTCAAAATAAATATGCATTCAAAAATCACTAAATATATTCAAGACGAACAAATTAGAGGGCCCATCAAAAAGTTTTCCCGAACTAAATTATGTTCATAGATCACCACTTTAATTATTATAAATAGTTATGGTTTTTTTATTCAATTGCAGACGTGCTATTATTATGGCGTAACTACGGCCATTACAGTAGTCGATCACGTGTCCAAGGATCGATACGCAGCCGGAGGTAAACACACCAGCGACCAACGACAATATTATTATATACCAATCAATATTAGTATAACTGTACATAACACGGCCAAATATTATTGTTAACAGGCAGCAATAGGGACACCGTTGACGACACGCATTTGCGAGAGAAAGTGGAAGACGAGGATGCGGAAAACAAGCATTTCATGTAAGCAGCCGCACTGATTTAAATGTACCTATATTATATGTGTGTGTGTGTATACCTTATTTATTTCGAATTAACGTGTCCGAAGTCCTGTGATACGAAATGGTTTATTTCAGGTGCAATTATTACTATAGAATAAAAGTGAAACGGTGGCTGAGAAAATACAAACCCTTTTAACTTACATAAGACAACTACGTAACGATCCGAAAACACAAAAATAATAATAATTACATTATTTTTATACGAGCATCGTGGATAGGTTTTTCATGGCTTTTTCTATGCCTTCACTCATCTTCTCCTGTAAATTGTTCTGTGTGATTGAAAAAAAACATATTTTATAAATAATTTGAAGAATTTATAATTAGTTACAATAATCTAAAGTAGAATATTTTTCTAAAAATGTTTATTAATATCGAATAATTTCTGTTATTAGCAATGGCATTTAAAATTTGGTATACATATGGAACTTTATTAGGATTCCTTTACTATTTTTATTTAATCATTAAACCATTCAATCTTAAATTATAATTATTAAAAAAAAAAGAGTATTCGAGGTTTATACACAAACTTTCTTAGAAAAGTATCTTGATAAAATAATATATTGTATTGTAAAAAAAATAAAAAATGTTGTATAAAGTGTTATAATAATATAATTTTACTTCAAAGTATTAATGAAACGTTTTTTTCAAAACCACAAAAATTAACATAGAAATCAGTAAAATTATTTACTACATGTATTAATATTTAATAAATGTCATGGTTAACTATATGGAAAAATTGATTTTTAGTATGTTGTTTAATCGAATATTTCTTTGCACGTTTTAGGGACGTTTATTCATTGCAAAGCGGACCACAACAATTAGAATTTGGACATGTGTTCGAGGATCCAAACGTCTGGGAACAGAGGTACGAGAAAAAGGATTTCGACACCCAACGGTACCAAGGAAAGGTGTGTTTTAAAAAAAAAAGTGACAATACATAGTACCTACTCGTAGAACGTTCAATATGTGTTATGATTTAACAGGTGAAATGGGGTGACAAAGACGGCAGTTACGGTGAACAGTATTGGGATTTAAACCACGGCGGCGCTGATGAATTATCCAACGAAAACGTGAGATTATGAGATAATTAGTAGTTTCTTTAACTATTGTTATAAATATTGTTGATTACACATGTAATCTGTTATTTTGTTTAGGAAAAAAATGATCAATACGAAGCACCTATCCCAATCGAATACGGACAGGTAAAATCCATATTTATTACTAATAACATTTAGTTTATGCATTTATTTTAAAGTAGTACGATAATATATGATCGAACAAATTAATTTATCTATTTATTTAATTTCGCAGTACAGAAATTAAAAAAATTCGCCATATTTTTCTTATATTACTAAAATATTTTTTAAGAGGTTATTAAATGGCGGCTAATGAACGGACATTATCTGGCCCGCACATAGACAAAAAAATAATAAGCACTTTTAAATTTATTATTTTTGATTTTGTCTTTACTTTTTTTTCTGTAAACATATACATTATATTTCAAAAGCATCAAATAACTTTAGGATTCTTAAAATAGTAATTCAAAAATATAAATTGGTGATTACTGGCCTATATAATATAATAAAATATATTTTTAAATTTAGGAGAGCCGTCAGCGACTCGTTATTTATAAGCCAATGACGGTTACACTCCTTAAGAATAAACCCAAGAAATCCGTTAGAAATGTACAAGACTATCCGAAACAATTAGTAGAACCATCAGAAGCATCGACAAATATAAGAGGCGCCACTAAAAAAACAGCTCCTGTTTTAGTTTTTGACATGAAGACTGGAGTAGTCATGGACGAAGCCACGGGAAATAAATTTATTTTGAAACCGATAAATAATCAATAATTTATTTACAATATTGTTTTATTTTATAAATTTTACTATAAAAACCAGAAATAACTACAAAGGTTATTAAACTATAATACTAAGAAACGTAATTTTTTACTGTTAAAAATTATATTATTCTTCAAATATTATAATGTACCTAATTGTATTAACACTAATTGTTTTTATATACATAACTATTTTTTTTTTTTTTATATATACTTATTCTTTATTAATTTGTTTTATTAAACTCTTGAATTAATGTTATCTTGTACAATATTTATGCTTCAGAATACATTAAAAAGATAAAATGTATATAAGTTTAAGGAAAACAAATATAAAATAAGTAAACTAAATAAGAATAATTTTCCGGCAGTATCTCCTAAGTAAAATGCAATTAATAAACCAAAAACGATTTGTTTTAAGTTTTCACTTTTTTAATAATCACCTAAATTTTAAATAATTCAATAAACAAATAACTTTGTATTATTAATAATTTTACATAACACAAAAATAGTGAAAGTTATTTTTTAATTATGAGAAAACCTAATCATCAAATGGTTGGAATTGATTTCTAAGTCAAGAACTAAGATAATTAGAGTTAAATTATGCATTTTCTAAACAACCAATAATGTTTCATAGGTTTGCTTAAGAATGAACATATATTATAGGTTAAACGAATAATTATTATTTTTTCATACAATTTAAAGTAGATATCGGTGTATTGAAATCTGATATAAATAGTTGTTTGTATATATCGTTTATCCTATTATATTATAACCGTTTCTTTAACATTTTATCGCGCGATATTAAAATTAAATGAATACCTTCCAAAGACAGTTCGATAATTGGCTGTTATTCGAATCGTGAAAATTTACAAGAAAGAAAATAGGTAAATAGTCTTAAATTATATAAATAATTCAAACGAAAAATTACTTTTTTTTTGTCAACTTATATTTTTATAATGCTTTAATATCAGTATACAATTGATTGTTTGAACATATTGACAATAAGTAAAAAAATAACTCGTTGAGTTATAATATATTTTATATTTTATATAGGTAAGTAAATTATGATGATAACAATAATAGAAGTGTGCAGTGCAACATATTATATCATAAAATATAATATAATATTTAAAACCTACAGAAGACCTGGTCCATTACATAAACTTCTGTCGAAAACTGAGTATAGATTGGTATTTTGTAACGACTATTATGTTATTATTATTATGCCGACCGTCTATAGTTATATTATAAGTGACATTTTTCATTCGTTCATAATTTAGTTACACATAATAAGAGTAATACAGATAATGATGAGCCCTAGTCATTTTATTTTGTATAACCCTATTTGATATGGTTGGCACTAAGAAAAAAAATATAGGAACCTAATTAATGTTGTATCGAGCAATCTATGCTCACCGTTTAGTTTGACTCTCTTTTCCCACGATGAAAATAAAAGTTACTTTCACTGAAAAATTTGAATTTGTTTTGTACTAATGTGATTGATTCGGATCTGGTAATCCGTATCCAAGAATATTACGATATATTATTATATTACACTATCAAATGGTTCAAAAATCAATTACGCTATAAATCATAAAATAGGTACCTAGGTATATATAATTTAAATTAAAAATGTATAGTTATAACTTATAATTCCATTATAGTCATACGCTTTAACGTTTATATACTCAAATCAATTAACATGAAAGTGAAAACATAACGTACATAAGGAGATGATCCTAATTTGTTTTATGTATTTATTTACCTATATAGGTGCTACGATTTCAATGGGAGATTATAATATTAACAATTTTTATCGGTACTGGTTAATAGTTAGAACATAATTAATAAGGACGAAAATATTTAATTTGCGTTCTGAACATGAACGAACAATAAACGTACATATACATTAATACTTTTAAATAGAATTAAAATACACACAAGCTAACTGGATAACAAATATAACTTCGTAAAATCGAAGGTTTGTAATTTTTTATGCACACAATAATATTATTGTTATACATACACTATTCATAATTTTAATAATCAAACCAGAAAAATTACAATGACCATTTGACACTAGTGAACATTATTTAATTTATATTTATGTAATTAGTACTATATAAGCGTTTATAACCAAAGAGATTATGAGGTGACACATAGGCAATCAAAATAATTAGAAACGTTACTTATATGTCTGTACCTATGTAATATTTATTTATGTACATAGTTAGTAGCATAATTGATTAAATTTATATATTTATTATTTAATCAATGGTAGTACCTTTAATATTATCGCTGTATACTAACACTTTTTATTTTCCAATGTGCTAACTAAAACATGATTAAAAAATTCAAAGCCGTGTGTACAATATACTTAAATCAGTTAATTATTTGCAGTTATAATAAATAAAAATAATAAATTTTTTTTGAGTTGTTTTGAATTTATTATTTTAAGAATATATATATTATATTATCTAACCTTAATCTGAACTGAAAAATACGTCAAATATTAATATTATCAATTAATAACTGAGTGGTAATAGAAATAAGCAGATAGATAAGTAATTAAAAATACTTAATATTGTTTATACCTATACTATATTAATAAATGTTTAATGATAAACTATTGCACTTATAAAATAATTTTAGGGAAAGCTAAATTTATCGAACAATTTTCAACGTTTATTAAATAAATGTAAATTTTTTCACAGTTATATTTTGAGGAGTTTGAACTGCATTTTTAGAAAAACTGCATAGGAAACATTTAGTAAGCAAATATCTGGTATTAGATTGTTGTCTTGCTTTGATCACCTCAAATCCTCATTTCAGAGTAGTCAATTATCATTATAAACGTTTTAAATAAATTATAAATTTTTACATAGGTACAATACAATTATTATTGTTGGAAATAAGTTTAACATTGTGCTTACTGTTTACATAACTACCTACGCAAAATTATTGTTTAACAACATTTAGAAAAATAATAATTATTAATTTAACATTTTAATCATATTATTTTAATGTGATAATGATTACAATAGTATATAAGTATTTTCATTTTATTTATTTTTTTTTACCGTTATTGAGATTTCAACTTTAAAATTATTTTATCTCGAATATAATACTTTACATAGTAACATTATCTTAAATTTTAAATGTTAATACCTAAAAACTAATTTAGAAATTAAATAAAAATTAATCTAAAAAGTTGTTATTATTAGCTGGTAGTTAATATTTTCTTCGATCCTGTGTTATAGTACATTTTACAAGCCAAAAATTATTTATCAATTGAAGTTATTTCTTTATAGGTTTAGGTAATACACTTTTGTTATTTAAATAAAATATTGAATTGTTATTATTATCATTTATTGTTCATCTATGATGTAATTATGTATTTGAAACTAACCTAGATGTAATGGGTTTATCTTAAAATCAAATTAAATACGAACTTTATTGATTAACTTTGTGGTAACAACATACACGCAATCATCATAACTAAATAAATCTTATAGATCGGAGTCTTTGTGCTAACAATCTAACAATATGTACGATTTGACATTTGAATTGGTTGAGGTGGGGATATTATAATTATAAAATAATATCATTTCTTTCATGATAAAATACAATAACAAATAAATATATTTCTTTTGAAACCTAACATGGAGGGGAACAGGAGAAACCAGCCTAGGCGGTTCTAATGTCAACCATAATAAAAAGTCAATCTGTACGTTGTAGACACACGTCGAAGCAACTGAATAATAGTGATCTACTCCTACAAAAATAATTTATACCACCTACACTATTTTAATAATAACATATAGTAATATTCTTTACACAGTTTTTATCTTATTTTAACTTAATGTTTAAATAGTTTTAATAATTTTTAATAATGCAGTTTTTCTTTTATTGTTTGGTAAGTAAATGTAGTATTTTTCCAAAATTGAATGAATGCATTATATGTCGTACAAATATTGATAATTCTATTATATACGTTTGAATTTTGGGTATGTCATGTAAAATGTTTGTAGTATTTTAGTATATATACATAAGATAAATTTAATTTTGAAGAAATTTGAGCTTAAAATTTTGTAATTTAAATACTATAGTATGAAATATTAATAAATAATGTTTATAACGTACCTACTATAAAAATAAGTGCTTTAAGTCTTCTGAAATAATAACATTTTAGTAAACTTAATAAAAACCATCATTTTTAACAATTCTTCAAAATTACCTACCATGACATATTCATTTTTATTATAAAAAAAATAAAAAGTTTATTGGCTGATTGATTAAACTATGACCAACAGTACATTTATTTTCTATAGATCTTAAGATTCTTTAACTAATTTATTTTTTGTTATTTTTGTAAAGATTAATTTATTTTATTTCAATTGAAAAATAGTATTCAATTCATCTGATATCAAAATTATGCATAAGAATTATCGGTATATAACTCATTATTACCAAAAACTTATATCAGTGTAATTTTGTAAATTAAAAATCAATATAGATGAAAATATTATTTAAATTTTAAAAAAGAATAAAAAATATCTACTTTTGTTTGATATTTAATATTATAGTGTGTAAGAGTATATTATTGGCATCATTTAACTCTAAATGCCAATCCCTGTTATCGATATTATTATTATTTTTCATTAAGTTTTAATTATTTTAAATTTTAGCCACAAATATTAGATAAATATTTCAAATTCGTGTAGAATTAATTAAATTACGCATGTTATTTTATATTTTACTGATTTTATAATAAATAAAAAAAAAGAAAAAAATTAAACCTAATAATATTTAGATTTACTAATAGTACATAAAAAGAATTTAACGGTAATTTTTAACTTGTCTAAAAATATTGTCCTTCCCTTTTTGTATACACATACATATTATTATATGTTATATATTTATTCACACAAGCTATGATATATATATATATATATATATATGATGTTTTTTTGTCATTTGTCACATAAGATGGCACTTTCCCTCGCGTATCAGCCCAATATTAGTGACGGTTTTCAGATGAAAAGAATACGGCGGGACATGTAGGGAAAAAAAACGCTCCAGGTAATCAACGGACAATAAAGAAAAGTAACATGTTATATGTTTTCTTGGCCTCCTTTTCTTTTTGATTCGCTCGAGCATGTGGATATTGTTGCGTAATCAAAAACAAAACGAAAACATAATATCATAAAATCGCAAAAAATACATTAACAATAACGCGACCATATTGATCTCATAAGGTATCCGCCGTTGTTCAGATGTCACGTTTAATGAAAACCAAATGCATGTATATTTTTACAGGTGTTCCTCTCGACCGTATCCGTCGCGGTATTATTCGAAGTCAAAAAGATATACGTCATCGAACGCGATTTCAAGACAGGTATAGCTAAACACATTATTATTTTTTTACTGGATCTACATAATCATTATCACTGTATGTCATAATACATTATGTATTATAATTTAATATTGTTTATAATAATATGATATTTATAACTATACATATATCAGTATAATATAATATACACTATACAGGATATATAATATATTGTATTTTATTGCAGTTGGTGTGTAATATATCAATGTTGTCGTTATACGAAATATACCCACGTGTCACTGCTGACATGAGCTTTAGACTTATAATTTTATTATTATATAGTGACCAAACTCACGTTAATATGTTATTCGTTGAAAAGTATACGCGTAAACTTTGCGTGCTAAATGTTTGGTAAAAAACGACGAAGTATAATGTACCTATATAGTTTAACTGAGCCGATTAACTTTAAATCAACTCGTAAAATATTTCAAAAAAATCTCATATACATTTTACCTCAACGCGACAGTCGCGCCGTAAACCAGAAGCCCCAGAAGCTATAAAATTCGAACGAATACACTATACACAATTACCAGCTGCGTAGTTGTATGCGGACACGCAATAAATTTCAGCGGCTCACATTTATGGGGTAGTCAAAAAATTTCGTGTTGTATAATAAAATGACTAGTTATTGTCGCGTACGGTGCTGGATTCGATTTAACGGTCGTCGTTATTTTCGCAACATAAAATAACGTATACATTTACAATGCTGTATAATATAGTATATTATCTAAGTACAAGTGAGGTCTATCTATTTATTTATTAATTTTTTTTTTTATTTATTTTAGTTCATTTATATCGTTTTTATATATTCATCGATTGCTATTTATGTTTATGTTGTTGAATTATAGTCAAATATGACGCAATTATCACTGAAATATCAAAAATATTATAAAAATTATAAATGTTTACTTATCTGCTTATATTACTCTATCATCGCCGATATCCTCGACTATAAAATGGGACATTTAACTATGCTATAAAATTTACGTACTGAAAATTTGTAATTTCTTGGCTAAAAAAGAAAAAAAATACTGATTCGCGGGATTTATATTCTTCACCATCACTGCCACTATATATGATATAATGATAAATTTTTATATTGCAAAACGTATGATAATTATTTCTTGATAGTGATATAGATATATATTTTGTAGCAATCTGTAAAATAATATACTTGAGTAAGTACGTGCGATTAATTTACAATGTTTCCGAGTTGCGTCGGTCAAAGTAAAAAAAATAACTAGTTGCGGTCGCCCAATATTGAAAGACGTGTCTACGGAATACGACGACCAAGGTTATAAAGTAAATCTTTGAAAGAACATATTATTCATTCCCACATAGGTAGCTACGTAAGTGTGTTTAAAAGTTTTGCAACCGGTCGACATTTTAGTAGAAAAAAATAGTACCTACGTGTTAAACAAATGTTTGTATAAATAAATTAACATAAAATAAAATAAAATTAATAAATAATATCAAAATGTTACAAAAAAAATTCTAACGGATCTGTACTCACTTTTTACATTATTTATGATAAATTTCATTTAATGGAATTAGATACCGATATTCGTTGTTTTTCACACGTAAGGATATCATGATAAAAATTACCCATTTAACCTTTTGCATCCAATTTAGTGAAACGATATATGTATGTAAATAATATTATAAAAACAGATTGCGCTCAAAGCGGAGTAGAGGTATACGTGTGATATCGATCAGTTCACCCTTTCCAATTTTTGATTTTAGGTAAATTTCAAGTAATAAATTGCATTTTTTAATTTTTTAATCAAAATATTTGGAAATTTGAGAGTCGAATTCCAAAACTGATCCGAACAATCAAACAAAGCTTTGCGCCGAGTTCAAAATGCATGCAGTCGTTGCAATGTTCTCCCGACGTTCTTGGCGTTTTATCGATTCACTCGAAAGTCGTGTTATACGTCATAACATAATTATATGTACACTCGTTGCACAGCTGTACTTCGTTCAGGTTACGTATTGCTGCATGCGTTTGCCAGCGAGCTCTCAGCAAGACCTGTTAACGTGAAACGTCAGGTTGTAATATTAA